TTTAATGAAGGTGTTTGGAAGGATTCGTGCTCCTTGTAGGCAGCTGGTCATTTGCATTCTTTCAGAGAGTCGTTGAGGCCCTTGGCTCTCTCTCAACAGAGTGGAAAGGACACCACATCTACCACCACTCTATAACACAATCATTGCAGCAATTCCAAGAAGGCTCCACACCCATTTCAGGTGACCCTGAGGACACAGACAAACCTCCAAGTGGCCTCAACGACTCTCTAAAAGGGTGCAAATGACCAGCTGTCTGCAAGGAGTATCAATCCTTCCGTTCCCCCACCATCCAGTCAGAGCTGAAGAAGCTTCTTGGATGAAAAGCAAAACATCTTCAGAACCAAGACGAAAACGTCTTCAAGAACCAAGGAAGTCCAGTTGCCTCTTGAAAAAGCACCTTTGGGAGAGCCATGGTGCCATGTATCAAGAGGAATGGATGGAACGTGACTCCTTTCCTTAACTCCTCTGCTCAACAGCCTTCCAAGCAGACTTCCCCAAACTGGTGCTCCTAAACTGCGACAAATCTAGAACTCCCAAACTCTCCCCCGCCCCACGATGTAATTGGGGATCGCAGCCTCTTTGAATCAATTGTTCTGCGGTTTTCCTCCCTCCCAACGTCCTTTCTCACCTGCCAGGATTAACCCGATCCAGCTCATAGTGGGACGAATAGAAGGTGCTGGAGACAAGAATTCCCGAGAGAGAGGAATAAGCTTCGCTTGGGTTCGAAAGTGGGCTTTTTAGCCTTATATAGTCTTCAGCACACTTTCCAGGGGTGGGAAATTCCAGGTAGGTCCTGCCAGGTGCAGGAAAGGGAGGAAGGAGAATAACCGGAATTCAAGATTAAAGGGCAACAGCTAGAGAGCCATTTCTCAACTCTTTTTGGGGAAAGTTTAGCTTTCCCAAAGCTTTCGGGCACCAGGCGGCTGCCAGTCAAAAATTGAAGCATGGCCAGGTGGGCAAAAATTTCCCTCTAGCTGTTTGCCAGGACAATGATTACGCCAGGGGTTTATGTAAGGGCATTGCTAATCCTTTTTTTTTTTAATGTAATGGAGAGAACAGATCAAAATGTCAATATTGACTAAGCAATATGAAACCACAGAAAGCAAAGAAACAGGGGAAAACCCGGAATTGATTTTTTTTTTTTGGAGGGGGGAAAGAGTTCCGGAACAAGATTAGAAAAAAAAAGAAGGAACACACCCCCCCCTCCAATGCCAACAGGAATCTCTCCTGTCATAGACGCTTGAAGTGTTACCCCTTTAGAGGGGCTGGTCTGGATTGGCACCCAACACCAAGACACTCGCAAGATTCATTTTCCCCGCCAGGTGCAGTTCAAGGGTGGGTTTCTCCCGGTTCGCACCGGTACGCCAGAACCGGTTCGTGAAATTTAGTGTACCTTTTGGAACCTGTTCCAATAGGAAGGAAGGAAGGAATGGGGAGAGATACACACAAGAAAGGAAGGAAGGAAGGAATGGAGGGAGGGAGAGGGAGAGAAAAAAAGAGAGAGACAGATAGAAAGGGAAAGAGAGAAAGAAAGAAAAAAAGAAAAAAAAAGTGGGAGCGAGAGACGAAAGAAAGAAAGAAAAAAAGAGGGGGAGAAAGAGAGAGAGAGAGAGAGAGAAGGAGGAGAGTAAGAGAGAGAGATTGAGAAAGAGATTGAGAGAGAGAGATTGAGAGAGAAAGAGAAGGAGAAGGAGAGTAAAAGAGAGAGAGATTGAGAGAGGGAGAGAGAAATTGAGAGAGAGAGAGAGAGAAGTCTGTAAAAGTGCTATGAAGCGGTATATAAGTGCTATTGCTACATTCAAAGTGGCAATATACTTATTCTAAGTTTCTAAGTCCAAGACATTAAAAACAGGCTTAGCAGTCCGTAGATCCTGCAGCAATCCCCAAACCCTGGTTCCCTTGACCTGTGGGTCATGAGAATGCAACCAAACTCAGCTCTTGACAAATCCTTCAGGGAAATTCTGCCCACCTGGCCATGCTTCAATTTTTGGCTGGCAGCCGCCTGGTGCCCGAAAGCTTTGGGAAAGCTAAACTTTCCCCCCAAAGAGAGTTGAGAAATGGCTCTCTAGCTGTTGCCCTTTAATCTTGAATTCCGGTTATTCTCCTCCCTCCCCTTCCTGCGTCTGGCAGGACCTACCTGGAATTTCCCACCCCTGGAAAGTGTGCTGAAGACTATATCAGGCTAAAAAGGCCACTTTCGAACCCAAGCGA